TACATGTAAAAGTAAAATATTAAAGTAAAGAAGTAAAAATAGAAACTATATAAGAGCAATTGAAGACACAATTACAAAACAAAAGTGATGTGATTAGTAGCACCCAAGTCAGCAAGTCAAGTACACTCACCTAAAGGATTATAAGGAACCCCTGTTCAATTTCTCATTAATGCAATTATCTAATCAACCAATCACATGGCAGTTGCTTCAATGCATTTAGGGGTGTGGTCCTGGTCAAGACAATCTCCTGAACTCCAAACTGAATGTCAGAATGGGAAAGAAAGGTGATTTAAGCAATTTTGAGCGTGGCATGGTTGTTGGTGCCAGACGGGCCGGTCTGAGTATTTCACAATCTGCTCAGTTACTGGGATTTTCACGCACAACCATTTTTAGGGTTTACAAAGAATGGTGTGAAAAGGGAAAAACATCCAGTATGCGGCAGTCCTGTGGGCGAAAATGCCTTGTTGATGCTAGAGGTCAGAGGAGAATGGGCCGACTGATTCAAGCTGATAGAAGAGCAACTTTGACTGAAATAACCACTCGTTACAACCGAGGTATGCAGCAAAGCATTTGTGAAGCCACAACACGCACAACCTTGAGGCGGATGGGCTACAACAGCAGAAGACCCCACCGGGTACCACTCATCTCCACTACAAATAGGAAAAAGAGGCTACGATTTGCAAGAGCTCACCAAAATTGGACAGTTGAAGACTGGAAAAATGTTGCCGGTCTGATGAGTCTCGATTTCTGTTGAGACATTCAGATGGTAGAGTAAACAGAATGAGAACATGGATCCATCATGCCTTGTTACCACTGTGCAGGCTGCTGGTGGTGGTGTAATGGTGTGCGGGATGTTTTCTTGGCACATTTTAGGCCCCTTAGTGCCAATTGGGCATCGTTTAAATGCCACGGCCTACCTGAGCATTGTTTCTGACCATGTCCATCCCTTTATGGCCACCTCTGATGGCTACTTCCAGCAGGATAATGCACCATGTCACAAAGCTCGAATCATTTCAAATTGGTTTCTTGAACATGACAATGAGTTCACTGTACTAAAATGGCCAATCTCCATCAACTGCAAGATGCTATCCTATCAATATGGGCCAACATTTCTAAAGAATGCTTTCAGCACCTTGTTGAATCAATGCCACGTAGAATTAAGACAGTTCTGAAGGCGAAAGGGGGTCAAACACAGTATTAGTATGGTGTTCCTAATAATCCTTTAGGTGAGTGTATATCATGATTGTGCTTATAGATTTGTAGAAGACTGGACTATTGGTTTTGGCAGAAGTCTGCGCTCTCTTAGTGCCCTTATATGCATTTAATTAAATTGAATAAATGCATTTAATATCAAACATGGAAACAATAGACATATGAGACATAACAAAAACATTGCTGTATTCACAATCACTGTTCTGTACTCCCAGGGGACAGTCTGTTTTTTTATAGTATAGTATAGTGTGTATATATATATATATATGTTTGTGAATGAAGAATTTCCTAGATAAGATTGAAAAATCATCAACAAATTCTAGGAATGTGGCTAAAGTGATGAATAACAAGCTCATCCTATTGGCTTTCGAATTCTCGCGATGTTTCAATGCCGTTCACATCCAGACCGCGAGAAGATGAGAGATGGCAATAGAAAACAAACCTGGGGAGGCATTTGACACCGTTTTCAGTCAAAATGACTCCTTGGAGCGCTCTTCGCACCATGACCATGAGACTGGACAAGCTCGGGTGTTCAAGATAATAGTCATAGGAGATTCAAATGTGGGAAAGACGTGTTTGACTTACAGATTCTGCGGGGGCACTTTCCTGAAAAACCCAGAGGCAACGATCGGGGTTGATTTTAGAGAGAGGACGCTGGAGCTCGATGGGGAGAGTATCAAGGTGAGAGGACCTACAAACACACTCCTACACTTTAATGTCACGCCACACCTCAGTTTCCTGAACGATTGACACGGCCATCTGTTTGAGCCACCGCTCATAAGTGGACACAGAGGAGAGACTGACCTGGAGCCTGTTGTTTTCAGACATTCAAGGAGCTGTGCAATGCATGGTGATAGCACCACTACAAAACACAGGCCTACCTCTTTAAATGACCAGCTGGTAGGCTACATTTCCTACTAAATCACATAATCAATTTAAAGTAGACATTATACCCCTAGAAGAAAAGGTATTCAGCAAAAGTCAATGTCTCTGTGCAGGACAATATGTAAAAAATAAGATAAAACCTTTTAATCTGTTAGTCAGATGAGGCTTTTTCAACAGATTGTTCCATAATTTCCCCACAGCATTACTGTGACGATATACAAGTGTAGTCTCAGGTTTCTGAAACAATAATAAAGATTTATGTGATGGCATGGAAGAATGTAATATTCTTGCACCAATAATTTTTACTTCTAATTTGTGGAGCTTAAAGGATAAGGCTGGCGTGTAATGTCCTTTCTTTGTGCCTGCAGGATTTTCCTCTTTTCAGGAGTCTGTAGCCAGAGTAAGCTTATTGTGGTGGCACCTGTTATGCCTATACCAGCCGTGCTCTGCTAATAGGCCTTTTTCACAGCTGTCTATTTGTGGCCCAGTAAGCCATGACAGTATGTCAGTGAGCAAGCATGAACAATATCAGGACCCTGGAACTAAAGCAGCTAAATGGAATCCAGCCATTCAAGTATTTACACATGTGCTTAGTAATAATAAAAACACATCATTGAGCCACATCTTTGCACTGGGCGACATGTTCTTTCACGACTACATCATACATTATACATACTCAATAATGTGCCACATTTGTATTCATCTGCTGCCGAAAGTAGTCCTCTAACAATTTACAACATTTGTACCCTGTTTAAGCATCGTTTGCTTAAAAAAAAAACTACAGTGCTCATCTGTTTTAGGAAATTACTGAGCCTCTTTCAAACTATATGTCTTTGGTCAGTTGTTAAAGATTTATGTCTCCAGTAGGAACAAATGGGCTTGGAGCTGAGTGCCACAGACACAGTAGGAAAGTCAACAAGTATTGAGAGATAGATAGATGGCTTTAGTCTTTTCTTTGGATTGGTTAACAATAAGAAAAATATAGAATTACACTGACCTTATCCTTTAAATGTTTTTAGTCATATCAGTATGTGTTTCTGCTGTGCCAGTTGCAGATCTGGGACACAGCAGGTCAGGAGCGTTTCAGGAACAGCATGGTGGAGCACTACTACCGCAACGTCCATGCCATCATCTTTGTATACGACATGACCAGCCTCTGCTCCTTCGAGAGTATCCCTGAGTGGATTGAGGAGTGCAGCCAACACTCTGTTGGGCCGCTGGTACCCCGCATCATGGTGGGCAACAAGTGTGACCTGAGGGACCGCCGCGAGGTCCCCACGTCGGCCGCCCAGCGTCTCGCCGACAGCTACAACTTCCCACTGTTTGAGACTTCTGCCAAGGACCCTGCTGAGAAGGAGCATGTTGACGCAATCTTTCTGACTTTGGCTTATAGACTAAAGAGCCACAAACCCCTGAGACTGAAGCAGCCGAGTGAGAGCAATGTCCGGCAGCTGTTGAACCAAAGAGAGCAGGAAGCGGCAACTTGTCAATGCTGAGGTCGCCTCCATCCTGTATGGATGTACATTTGAGAGTGGACGAAGGTCATTGCAGCCTTCCGTAACACTAATGGTGCTGAGGAAAGCACTGAGGCTGAATTCAGACAGGGCTCTTATGGTGAGATAGAAAAGGAAAAAACCCTGCCTGATATAAAGCACAGATAGAATATTAAATCAACATTTCAATGAAATGCATGAATGGCTTTGGAGGCATGCCAAACATGTGTAGCTCAAACTGTACATGAAATCACTTTAAATAAAAAAACAAAGCATTGCAAAATGCACTTTAACAAATTATATGCAATCCGCTGTTTAGTAGCACTACAACTTTACTGCAGTATTCAATGCGGACCATAATTAAAGGGACAAAATAGATTTCAGTGTAAGGAAAGGGACCAATAAGGTAAATTGAAACTGAAGAAATGTTTTAAAGTGACATTTCAGTTCTTAACAAATGAAAATGCAGTAAATGTTTTGATGCTGTTGCTTTCAAATATAAATATGAACATTACCAGCTTTGTGTCAGCTCATTCACCTACACAGTTCTTTGGAGAGAGCTCACTAACGATAAAATGCAAGTCCACATAGTTCACTTGAAAAGCATTAACGAGTACATGCTCAGCTCTGAAAATTGTTATGCCGGAAAGTATTGATGGTATGAGATAAATGACTGACTGATACTTTAGTTGCATGTGAACAATAATGCAAACACTTTCCAACAGTATGGCAACTTGTGACAATGTTAAACTGCAAATCAATAAAAGAGGTTTTATCAGAAATGTCTTAATTTCTCTGCTGTGTTTGTTTGATATGGTGAGACTGCAGCAGGCTCTTCAAATCATAATGCACTTATAAATACTTACACATAGTGAAGGATAAAATTATATATTATTTTATTGTTTGCTGTATTTTGTGATTAGGGCTGAAAAACTGTAATTTAATCCTTCATCTATCCATATAACCAACATGGACATTTGAAGATCTACAATTCCATTACAACTAGATGAACTCCATCTGCTGATAAGGATCATGTGATATGATAGAAAGCTCCAGAACAGCTATTAATTATTAAAGGGACCATGTAATGAGATTGTTTCCTATGTCCTTCATCCTTATGTTTTCAATATTTTACTGGATTTCAGCGACGACTAGTGGCCAACGTTTGCATAGCTATAGATCTGATGATGCGTTAGTGTAAGTATGTAAACTAGCATTATTCTAGTTCAAAGTGTGTGTATCCAACAATAGGTAATAATGCAATTCCGACACAAGATCCTATTTTCTACTTCATCAATAAAAAAAACCTGATAGCGAGACTTTGCTGGAGTATTGTCAGCTCTCCTGATTGGTGTTGACCTCGAACGATGATCACCCAGCAAGCTTGTCATATTTACCAGCTTTCCGTGAAGTCCATGAATGCAACGCTGTAATCAAGCAGTCTGGATTCTTCACACGGCGTCTCTCTGCGGCCATGGTAACACTTTCTGGACCTCTGATTCAAAAAACAAACACAAATAAGTGCTTTTCATGCAGGTATGAGAATGATTTTCACGTTGTATATGCAGTTAAAGAATATCGTTTAGGTTGTCGGGCGGTTGTTTTTGTCCAGATACATATTTAACACATGCTGGGAGGATTAAGTCGCGTGTAACGTTTATTGCCAAACGGTTGGTTTTGTTTTTTGTCTGTGGCCTAGCCGCAGGCTAGCGACGGCTAACGTTGGCAAGATGACAAGGTGTAGGCAAGAAAGCAATTTTATTTGAATAGTGGCTTTATTTAACCGTCAAGTCAACCGTCTACGATACATATGTTCACAGCTCCAGGTTAGCTAGCTTAACTAACATGCTTTTCCGGGTGTTTTATCACAGTTTGATGAACGTTAACGTTAGTTATATCTCATAGGTAGTCGACTTGAATAACGTTAGAGCTGCACCATTCTGTAATAAGTAGGATTTAAAATGAGGACACCGGGCTTGTTGATAAAAAATGTGGTTTTGACCTAGTTTAAAACGTTGTATCTAGCCAACATTAGCCAACTCATTGTTTCAGCTCTTAGTCAAAGTAGTTACCTGTTTTTTTTGTTTTTTTTTGTTGTTGTTGTTGTTTTTGTCCCCCCCTAAATAGCTGTTATTCAGCATGAATTTGGCAGACATATGTGACAACGCCAAGAAGGGCCGTGAGTATGCTTTACTGGGGAACTATGACTCCTCCATTGTGTACTACCAGGGTGTCATTCAACAGATCCACAAGCACTGTCAGTCACTCAGGGACCCTGCACTTAAAGTCAAATGGCAACAGGTGAGTTCCCAAAACCTCTGACCATATAATTGTAACACTTGTTAATAAACCATCATTACAGGGGGCCTGTGCTATGACAGCAGTTGATAAACTTTGCTTTGATGACAACACTGATTCTGTTTTTAAAAATCCATACATGTTGAGTGTTTTATGTCTCTGGTGACAGTGTTCTGTACTTGCATTTTTGAGTCAATTCTAATATTTAGTATGATCTGTTGGTTTGGTCATCTCAGTCAGAAAATAAAATCTAAAATCTACTGGGAAACGTTGTGAATGCATGCTGTAATGTCACAGTTGTAAGTATAAATTATCTTTGCCAGTGCTCAGGTCAGTTTACTGTGCTCTCAGTACACTTTACTGCATGAGTTTAATTTGCTTCCATTAGGGCACAGGTTATACCTCAATATATTTGGCACAGTCTGTGGATGGCAGTAAGGTATAACAGGGTCTAATTTGGCCCGTCACTAGCTGTGGATGCAACAGGACGGCCCTCTGGTGTCTTGCTTATTTTCTCTGCTTTCTCTAGATTGTTTTGGAGTCAAGTACTTTTTGTTTAATTTTTTGTTTTTGTTATTATAGCTGAACTGTATTTATTTTCTGTTGACTGCTGTCTGTAAGCCAAATAGGCCCCTCTGGAACATGTAAAGCCTTACTCTAAACTCTGTGTTGTTTTTTTACTGCAGACATCTACACATGCCAACTGCTGTGTTTTCAGTAGGATGTTCTGTGATGCAACACTGATACAGTATTCTCCCTTTTCTGTTCGGAACCAGGTCAGGCAGGAACTCACAGAGGAGTATGAGCAGGTGAAAGGCATCATAGGAACCCTTGAGAGCTTTAAGTCAGAGAAGCCAGTTGACATCCTTGCCCCTCATTCCGAGGAGAGACCCGAGGATCCAGCAATATGGCCCCCTCCCACCCCCGCAGAACACAGGTGTGTGTGTGTGTGTTTGTTTTTGTAGAAGTTACTTGTGTGACCCAAAGCCTTTGTGTGCTCCTTGCAGGGTCCGCCACTACAGAATAAAGTTTATATTTTCTACTTTTCCTACTGTCAGTTGAAACATATAGGTTTAAGTTTTTAATGTGTGTGTGCAAAACAAAATTTGGTTGAGATGTTAGTGTAAAAACATAAAGTAGCATTTATTTAGTATGTCACACTATGTTCTTGAAGAGGTTGGGTTATATTTTTGTATAAATCTACCTACTGATTCCTATATCTTATGTGACATTTATATAACTAAAATAAGGATTAGGACCTCATGTTTTTTACTCATCAACATGTTATTGTCACACACATTTGAAACCGAGGATATTTTCAATCAATCTACAAGAAGCACATACATGTCCATTAATTCTATTTAGTACTACACACTGAAAGCTGAAAAAATAACTGCTCACTGCTCTGTTATTGCTGGTTCTTATTTAATTCTATATGGAATAAAACAACTGGGAACAATACTGCAGTGTGTGGTTTACTTTCTGGCAGAACTGACATTGTCCGTAGAACCAAATACCTTTTATAAGGAAGCACTTTGAAGTACAAAGGGACATATTTTGCATAATCTGTTTTATCTGTACCAGCACAATGTGATTCACCATGTTGAATTTTATTTTATTTTTTTTTTACTGTCTTATCATTAAAATGGACATTGAGCTTTACCTCCACAGAGAATTAGCTGTGTTAACATTAATGGAGTTCTGTGGGAACGTTGTCATTGTTTTATTTCTGTGTCTTTGTCACTGTAGGAATCCTGTTGCAGTAAAGCGCCCCAACAGTGCAGTGAAGCAGCAGAGGAAGGACTCCCCTGGTCTGCAGCATCGAGGGGCAGTGTCAGGAGGTCGCGGTCAGGCCAACCCTAAACCGGACCGGCCAGGACCCAGAGGCACAAAAGCCAAAGATGATAAGGTCAGACTACAGAGGTTGATTGGTGGTTGAGTGGATGAAAAGATTGTTGGGGAAGTGACCCCGAAATCTGCCCCCTGTTTTTGGTTTTATTAATATTTTTTCCTTATTTGTTTCCTCATAAGGGAAAGAAAGGGGTTGGTGATGCACCAGGGGATGTAGAGCAGAAGAAGTTTGATGGCACGGGATATGACAGCGACCTGGTGGACTCACTGGAGAGAGATATTGTGTCCCGTAACCCTAACGTACACTGGTATTGTAGCATACACAGATTTTTACATACTCCTTTATGCATTTTTCTGCCGTGGAAGTTTTTTTTATAGCACTGCTGACTGAGTTCTCTGGATAAACTGTAGGGAAGACATTGCTGATCTGGAAGATGCAAAGAAGCTACTCAGAGAAGCAGTGGTTTTGCCCATGTGGATGCCTGACTTCTTCAGAGGCATTCGTCGCCCCTGGAAGGTACACACATACACATATGTGCTCGCTTACATACTCTGAGCTGTATGTATTTCTTTTGTATGCTTTTAAAAATGACTGAGGAATTACAGAAATCAATAGAGACACTTTTCTAAAGCTGTGAGCAGCTCACCTTGTTGTGCGCTCTACCTTAAGATACATTTTGAACATCATTAATAGGACTGTCGTGCTGCCTCTCAGTCTCTACATGACTCTGCTGAATGACCAGTTAGGGAGTTGTCTTCTGTACCAGCCTCTGTTGTACTTCATCATGAGCAGCTTCTGCCCCTCAGGCCCGCCATGTGACGGTCAATACTTTTTCAGTTTTTACAGCAACACAGTTCCTTTCATTTGTTTGAAATATGCATGCATTATTTAACTCTTTACTTACGCACTTGGAGGCCTCTTTTCATATGAAAGATTAATCAATTTGTTGTAGGAAAAAAATACATTTTAAGTTCATGATTGTTATATTTGCACTCAGGTAGGCTGAAGTTGTTTGTCTCATTACAAGTGACTTTTAGTATAGAGGTCTTTGCATTTCTCTTATGTTAGTCCTTCCTGCAGGATTTCTGGCTATTACTGCACGCTAACTGCAGGGGAGCCATCCCACTCCCACCTGCTGCTGCTGAGATCAGTGTTTTTATATTGAAAATCTGGGGCTCCAATTACACAGAAATGTTATGGATCGTGTCACATTGTGGTTAATGTAATCTCCATAGCAACAGACACAGACTAGATGCACAAAAGTCAGACATTAGAGTGGCAGCGGTAATCCTAATGTTAACAGATGAGATTTGCATCAGGGATGGCAATTTTGTTTAATATTATTGACATTTAAACAAAATGTATGTAAATGGTTATACGGACAGACAAATGTGAGGAAGGGACCGTGACAAAGTAAACTGAAACTTTATGTGATTCCAAATTTGGGTGCTTACAGTTTAGTGGAATACAATTAATTTACATGCATGGTTAAGCCCAATAATAACAGCCTGTCATATTTACATATATTAAATTTCCTGTGCTCAGCCACTTAAGAGGATGCTGAACACCAGCATTATCCTGAGTCTGCAGTGGTTGTGTTGGGTCCCACGTTCTCACTTCATCCCTGTAATTAAGTGCAGCTCTGACATTTACATTAAACACAATGACTAAACAGCTGCAAGTCAGTGCTGTTTTTGCCATTTGCTCTCTGTCAAGGTTTCATGAATCAGAGCTTTAACAACAAACATGAACACTAACTTTGCAGCACATTCAGGCAGTGTTTCACTGTAGAAGTCAGCTCCTAGTTTTGCAGGAACACTAAATGTTAATTGTTTATTTGCAACGCATTGTATGAGTTGAGCTTAAAAAAATGAAATGGGAGAAGAATTATAACTGGTAAGCCGGATCAGATCTGTGGTTTGTCACTCTTGGAGCAGATGCGATGCTCTGTGCACTCTTTTAGCTGCCTCTTCCTGTTTATCAGCCTTGTGGATCTAAATTCTGTGCTACTTACTTGTTTGTCTCTAATGGATATGTATGACGTACAGAATTTTCAGCAGTTAATTCTTAAAAATGAACAATAATTGATGTTCCTCTCTGATTACCAGCTACACTCTAATTCGTATTTAATGTATTTTAAAGCTGACATACAGGGGTTTTAATTTAGAAGATGACCAGTAAAAAGTATTGTTGTCCCGCAGCATCACTAACTTTATCTAACTATTCAAATAGAATGAAGGAAGGAAGAGAAAACAAATGACAATTTAGTCTGATTATCAGGTTAATATTAATTTCTCATAGCACTGGAGGCTAGTCAGATCTTAAGGTTTAATATTCTGGGAACAGACTAAGTCTACTTTAAGATTCTCTCCAGACATGTTTTTAAAACATAATCTGCTTAGAGGAAGATTTTCTTTCTGATATGGGTTTTCCAGATTCTTCTTCCTACATTTGAAAACGTATTGGGCACAAAATGTCTCCTACTTTGCTGAAAAGTCAGTTTTCTGTCTGTGTGACCTGCAGGCTTCAGTTTTCCTTGTGTAAATTTTAGAGATTTAAGGTGAGCACAGAAAAGCCTTTCCCCTTCAGCAGATGCATGTGTAAACAAACTCTGCACACATCATTCTGCACAGTGAAGATCAAACATCCAAGTGAAGTAACAATACGAAAAACACATTGTTGACTGGAGGGACTTTTGCATTCAGTCAAAATAAATCAAGAGGGGTGTTTGGATGGATGATTGGTTCTTTGGGGCCCAGAAGCCAACACTGAACTGACTGGAATCGGTTTGCGGCCCGGTCGATGAGTAAGAAGCTGGTTGAGATAATACTGTAGGTTTTCCCAGCCTTTAAAGATAATGCAGTGTTTATTCAGGCTCCCAGTCATAAACTTTATAACGTGATACCTCAAAGTAATGTGGCTAAGCAAAGTAAAAATCTGTACAATAAGACTTGATCATATGTGATTATTTGCAGGGGATACTTTAGCGAATACAGTTTTTCGGCGAAAGCAGCAGCAGATAGTTTGACATTTATGCTAAGGTTATGTATAGCTAAGTAATAACAGTGACAGTCTTTCTGTGACTGCTAGTCAGCCCAAAATCCTTTGTGTGTGTCTGTGTACATGAGTTTGTACGTCTTAAGTTTTAAAAGTATGTAACATTTTGTCTCAGGGTGTGTTAATGGTTGGCCCTCCCGGGACAGGGAAGACGATGTTAGCCAAAGCTGTGGCCACAGAATGTGGGACTACTTTCTTCAACGTGTCCTCCTCCACCCTCACCTCCAAATACAGGGGCGAGTCCGAAAAACTTGTTCGTCTGCTGTTTGAAATGGTGAGTTAATGGACACGTATGCGGCCTGTTTAGCAAAACCACACAGTACCAAATTGAAGATGTAATTCTTTTGTTATATGGTATAGATTTGTTCAGTATTATTTTTCATAGGCCCGGTTTTATGCACCAACAACCATCTTCATAGACGAGATTGACTCCATCTGTGGCAGAAGAGGAACATCTGATGAACATGAAGCCAGCCGCAGGGTCAAATCAGAACTTCTGATTCAGATGGATGGTGAGTGGATTAGGGAAGTGGGGAGGTGAAGCTGTGAAGGGGTTTCTAATGGAGTTGTTTGTGGTGTTAGTTCAAGAAACACATTTAAATGTTAACAAAAATTATAATCAAAAGCATAAATTGTGCAGTCAGGCCTGAACAGCACAGGTGCAGTAATGTTTTTCTTATCACATTTAGCATCTCTTGATATCTAAACTCATGTTTGGAATGAAATCACAACAAAAAACAGCAGAGTCTATAGACTTGTAGAAAGGCCAGTATTAAACTAAAAAAAATACAGGTCAGGTATCATATGTCATATGTATGGTACAATAATATGCATTTTACTGTGGTTTTGTGACAAGGTGTGGGGGGAGCTCTGGAGAATGATGACCCCTCTAAGATGGTGATGGTTCTCGCTGCCACCAACTTCCCATGGGACATCGACGAGGCGTTACGACGGCGGCTGGAGAAGCGGATCTATATCTCCCTGCCAACAGGTGACCTCATCACCAACAAACTAGCCACACAACAAACAATCAAACAAACAAGCAATGGTTGCTGTAGTGGTCCAACCTAGGCTGCACACAACAATCGTGTGTGTGTGTGTGTGTGTGTGTGTGTGTGTGTGTGTGTGTGTAGCTGTGGGTCGTGTAGAGCTCCTAAAGATCAACCTGAGGGAGGTGGAGGTTGCTGCTGACGTGGACCTGGACCTCATTGCTGAGAAGATTGAGGGCTACTCTGGAGCAGACATCACCAACGTCTGCAGGTGTGTGTGGTAGTGTGTGTACAAAATTACTAAATAGAAATTCATTATCAGCTTTTTCTGCTTTAGGATTTTGTAAATCAAATATGGTATTACTACAACCTGGAATATACGTGCAATGGAAAAAGATGAAGTGTGGCCACAGAGGTTATACACGCTGTTTTGACACTTGAATACATTTAGCTGCTGGAGGTGTGTAACAGCCATTTCAATCATTTTGAAATTACAAGGGCAACCATAGACGGTGTGTGTTTTGTGCTTGCGTGTGAGAGAAAGAGACAGATTACATATCTTTATGAGCAACAGAGCAGGTATTTGCATTTTGCTGTGAACATGAATCACAAACAATGTAATGTATACAGGCATCACTTTCCCGTGTAAGGACAGTTGGATGAGTATAAAGATGCACATTCTCTGACCTACGGCTTGCTACAAAAATGAAAACACAGGATTTGATCTTCTCTTTAACTCTTAAGACTGCCATAGAAATGGATAGTAGAGTTTAATCACAGACAGGTTCAAGGATAATGAATGCAGATCAATGGACATTTATTGAGTTCTTCTCCCCTATGTCCCAACAGTGTAGGTTATTTTTCCATACTGATAAACATAGTGAGCTGCTTAATGTTGATAAAGTCGATGATAAAGTTTATGTCATTTAGTCTTTATCTCTCTTGGCAGAAGATTATGTATTACTTCACTGTGTGTAATGCATGTTAGAGTCCAACCGATAAATCGGTGTTGTAGTATTATCGGTCGATATGAGCTAATTGCAGATAGATCCGTTTCACTAACAGCCGATAAAGTTAAAATTAAAAAAGAAAGGGAAAGATGAAAGATGGATCCTTCAATTATGTTATGAGTGTTGTTGTTGCATAGTTGGTCCACCAGAGGGCACTCTGCAACTCCCCTGTTGGCAACACGTTTTTTATTGAACCACAAAAACACTGCAATCAGCAGACATAATCATTTTATTTTTCAACTGCATAATATTATCTTAGTGAGCTGTCATAACTACACATGACAAATGTTTGCGATCTTTCTTTATAATATGGTTTTGGAAAAGAAGGGGGGGAAAAGAAAATTGGCTGATATGTTGGAATATCAAATTTTAAAATCCTCTAATATCAAAATCTGTATCGGTCTAAAAAATCGCATATCGGCCGGGCTCTAGTATTTTATGCTACTTTATACTTACACTTCATTACATTTTGGAGGCAAATATTAAACTCTCTCAACTACATTTATTTGACAGATTCAGATTTTGATACAAAATATAATCAACTAATCAGTTATGATGCATTATTATAGATTTAGCTACCTGGCAGTATAAAGAAATTAGCCCGACCTTTAACATTAGTGATGCTTTGACATTAATGCATCGCTAATTATAATCCAGAATAATATCATATATGTTAGTCAGTTGTGAAGTAACTTGTAAAGTTTGCTTCAATATGATTGCTTTAAATTAATCATTGACCATCCTTCTGACAATTGACCCTTTGCTAAGCACGCCCCCCATAGTTACTGTTGCTAAGTCCGACAAACTGTCGGACCTATTACTGCACTCCACGGAGAAATATTGCCTAATTTTTGGAAAAAAACATCTCGGAAAGAAGCTGACAGTTTTGCAGCTGCATTGTGCATTTGAAGGTTGTATTCAGGCTGTCAAACTGACGTGAAAAAAATAATGATAGAAGCTAAAGCCTATCGATCACGTTGAGATATCACCACCGATGATGGTTTACAGGTATATGTAATAAATTAATGGTGTGAGTGCTTTAAATAATTCAAGTTTTTTTATTGTCATTCATCCACATACCAGGTATACAGATGAACAAAATGCCGTTTCACACGGTCCAAGGTGTTAAAAACAAAGTCAGAATAATTCAACTTACAAGATAAGACACGATAAAACACAATCCAGGAACTGACACTAGACTAGACAGAGCTGATCTATTACTGTAAGGTGGAGTGAGCAAGGTGTGACTGGAACATTTTAAAGTGCATATATCTATATTTAAATAATAGCAGCATCCAAAGTGCAAATAGCCACAACCTTGTGTAATGATCGCTGGAGAACCTTGCAGATGCAACACAGGTGGTAAAACAGCACTTCTTTGCTATCTTTCCTGGAGCAGGCAGAAGTGTTGCAAACACATGTTATAAGTTTATGTAGAAGTGGAAATGAGAAAAAAATATGTTACAATATTTATTCCCCACACATTCAGACAAAAAGAGGGCAAGAGGGAAGAGGAAGATCAAATCAAAATGTAACTCCTGTGTGCAGTTCAGTTGTATTTGACTCCAGTCTTCTTCTTCCCCTCTCCTCCGAACGCTCGATGATCCATTCTCATTTTTTAATTATTTCAAAATCAATACCAATCAACCAAGTTATATTGTCTATTGCTAATCAATAATTACATACGAAATTATTATTTGAGTGATTGTCAGATAAGTAGTATATATTCTCCATAATTATCCTTTTTATTGTCTCTCTCTTTTCTGGGAGGTACCAGAGCTTTATAATAGCTTCCTCAATACTGTGTGACACACTGCTACATATAAAGAGATACCACCAATGATTATTAAAAGTAAGCATTGATCATTTGAATCTGTTTATATGCTTAACATTACTTCTAATCGCAGTTTAATACTTGCTTTAGATGAACACTTCTCCTTACCATCTTATCCTTGTCCTTGTGGGCTTTTTCTACCGTAGCTAAGCCAGGAATGTCAGGTATTTTATGTTGCCCGTGCTGTCACTGCTCATCTCTGGCTTGCATTGTTTCATTGACCTTGGATGTGTGTGTGTATGAGAGTATCATCCACACACAGCCTGTAGCCTGCGGGATTTCAGCCAGTAGTGATCACAGCCTTGACTCCATCCATTTTGACAGGACTAAAACTCTTCAGTACGGAATCCAAAATAGTAGAAATACTACGTGTAGTGTGTTTTAGGGAGCATATTTTATAAAAAGGAAGTGTTATGCATGTGCCCCCCCTCTGCTCCTGTCTTTACATGCACATCAGGGATGCGTCCATGATGGCAATGCGCCGTCGAATCCAAGGCCTGAGCCCAGAGGAGATCCGAGCTCTGTCCAAAGATGAACTGCAGATGCCTGTGACCATGGAGGACTTCACCCTCACGCTCAAGAAGATCTCCAAGTCTGTCTCTGCAGCCGACCTGGAAAAATATGTAGCCTGGATGGCTGAGTTTGGGTCAGTATAGAGAATGCTTAGACCCAGAGGGACCAGAACCAAGAGGACTTGCAGCTTTGAAAATGATGAAAGCCTTGAAGAGGAGGGACTTGGGAGTGTATGTCACAGAGCTGAGTGATCTCTTGTTTGTGCAACAGGCTGCACATCAGGGATCAAGATGATACATGGGCTCAAGTTCACATCAGAAGACTGGTGCCTTTGAGAGAGCATGATGAGAACTTCCACTGACTCCACTCCTGCCCTTTCACATATTCTCCCTGTCCTTGTAGAGACAGTCCATCCTTAAGAGACTTGAGGAAGAACGGGGGGGAACATCTCTCACACAGGGAACCATTTGATGTGAAAGCCTAATCGACATAGGTAGACTAGGGAATCCACATAATTTACACATTAGGCCTCTTGCAAGAACATTTTCGTATCTTTAACCTTTAACTGCACAAACTTTAAGTAAATTGCCCGTTTCAACCTAGCAAGCACCACCTGTTTACAAGTCGATGAATGATTGTGTCATCAATTGGATTATCAACTGCCCTAAAATTGCCATACAAGAGTTCTTGTTCTGCTCAATTTGTGGGCAAGTTTCATTTAAAAAATGTTAGAGCTTCTCATCCTGCTGTCATAAATCAGCAGCCGAGAACATAATATGTTTGGAGGTGTAAGTAGTGGTGTAGGGAGACCCGAAACAATTAGAAAATGTTATTGCAGCAGAGGGATTAAGACATGTTAGACTATCAGGTGCACCGGTGTAAGATAATTATCCAAACAAGTACTGAATTGTTTAGGTTGCCACTCCAAAATATGCTTATAACACCTACAAAGTATTAATTTTGCATAAAGTCTGTTTTAGTTATTAATTTTAGGATGGTTGGATTCTGTAACATAGTTAAACTGCAAATTCATTCAGATTAAGGCATTAAAACAACGACTTTCTGGCAAATCCATCAAGTTCTGTTAAATCACGTGTACGTGCCACTTAAGAACAAATCCGTACTTGTGATTCTTGCAAGAGGCCCTTTGTCTTAAAGAACTGTACGTTTGAGCACTTTTAATGTGTTTCCTTCAGGAGCCCATGTACTTACTACTGACTGAACACACTTGAAGACATGTCTGTGTTTTGTAGTGAACAATTATGTGTTTTGTGATTGTATTTTTTTGTTGTTGATTTTAATATTTGTTTTCAATTTTATTTTGTTTTAGTTCTGTTGAGACAAACAAATGTAGTCAAGATACAAGACACTTGGATTGTTTATTAAAGGTTACAGTTAATTCTCTTCTAAAACCTCGCCTACTCAGTGGTTCCTGTATTTTATGAAATATATTAAATTGATCACCCTAAACTGAGTCAGGTTATGTCTTGCATTCAAGGAGCGTGCGTTGATTGTTGAAAGTGTCCATCTGGGATTCATCAGACTCTTCAGTATTCAGAGTCATCCTTAAGGTGGAGAAAGATGGTGAGTTGAGCAACAAGATGACTACATTGTGAACTAGTGATAAATGCGATCCAATGTTTTGCCGTACTAGGTTTACTTTTTAAGTTTAGGCTGCCTTTAGTGTTAAGGGCATCCTGCTTAGGACAAATAATAAACCTCTAAAAGCTGCATTCACTGTGTCCAGTGTTCCCACTAATATTTGGTAATCACATCACAATTGAGTGCTATAAACTGTGTTGTTAATAATGCTTCATATTAAATCACAAGAGAATTAGTCCATGATGCTGAAGCAATTAAAATATTTAATATGAAAGTCAATTTGCAACAAAATCACAGACTTGACGTCTCTATTAGCTTTAGTATCACACTGTCTTCATTTTCAGATCGCTAAGAGTTAACTTAAAACCAGCATGAACAAGAAATCTTTGCAGTGCTATGGATTAAATCATGATGACTACTGAGCTTGCATGTGAGCACATCTATCTACATCGCATGCAACTCCATGAAGTCTATGTGATCGGGTTAAGAGCTCAGGAAAAAGCTTGTACATTGTCTGTAATTCAGAATTATGTTGTCCAGCTGTTGAAACAATGTTTTGATATATTAAATGCTACATAGCATAAAGAGACCTGCAAAGGATCTGATTGTGACAGTATGATTCCTTTTTCTGCTGTAATGTAATTTAGAGACTCACTCTAAGGAAAGAGAGAGCTTTATTTAAACTGAGGAATATAGTTGTGCCACAGTTGAAGTACAAAATGGGAAATAGTGCAACATATCAATAAACAGATATCCAAAATACATGTAATGCCAAACATAAACAAGATTGATGGTACAGTTGGTGAATTGCGTATAGATATGTATGAGAACTGACATATAGCTATGTATTTAAATTACAATATCAAAACTCAAGTACAAGTAAGTGTGTATGGTTAAATGAAAATGTTCAGTGCTTATTGCCATGATATTGCACAAAATTGCACGTCCATGTTTTTATAATAATAATAATAATAATAATAATAATCTTTATTTGTAGAGCACTTTTCAAAAACAAGTTACAAAGTGCTTTAACAAGTGTAAAGACAATAATACCCAAGAGACAATAATACAAAAAAAAATACAATTGTTATTAATTTATATCTGTAGCAGCTGTGTAGCAGGAACATTTAGATGTGATATTGTATAAAACAATGCTTTTTCTGTGTGTATTTACAAAAGATTAAAACAGCATCAGCCTGTTGTATCATCCTGACTGTACATACTGACTGTTTCTTGTTTTGTGTAAGGACACAACATTCAAGATTTTGTGAGATGCACTTTGTCATCTGTTGCTTTATTGTTTTTCTTTTCTTCTGTAGCACTAAAATATGACAACACTCTAGGTCAACAGATGTACATTTTGACATTTAAAATGTCATTAATGAAATGCTTATTACTTATCAAATGTAGGACAAACTGTACAGAGCACTCTTCTATGCCCTCAAATTATTAACCCTTGTTGACTGTTTGTCCTTTTGATGTATCTAAAACGGATTTGACTGCCGATGGCCTCATTGTCATGCGTCCCCTTTGTGTTTCCTACCTTTGCAACAATTGCACTTCATTGTAGGCTATTGTAAGGCTGTTATATATATTATCACCAAACAAGCCACTTTTGAATTCTACTCCACTACAATTCAGAGGGAATTGTTAAGATTTTTTTTTTGCAAACGAAGAGCTTGTAAAAGAGGATGCTTTGTTATAAATTGAACAGTAAAAGTTGCTTTGAATAAAAAGCGTCTGCCAAATGGGTAAATGTAAATGAACATCACAGGGGCCATTTTCCCGCATTGATACTTTTACTTTTAATTCTTTAAGTACCTGAGTATACTTGCATAAAAATGCAGCACACATAGTATTTTTTTTACAATGTGGTATTTAAAGTAAAGGATGTGAATACTTCCTCCACCGCTGCTGGCGTGGTGCGTTGCTCCAGTGACGCTGTGTGGCTGCATCAGCGGACGGCTGCAACGCGACAGTTCGAGGAGGAGACGTTTCTCTCCGTTATTATCACAGTTTGTCTAACGTACAGAATGGAGACTAAACCGGTCATCACCTGCCTTAAAACCCTCCTCATCGTATATTCCTTCGTGTTTTGGGTAGGTAGCCTTTTGGTATATTTAAAATATATATATTTACATATGCCTGCAGTAAATGATCGCAATCCATCATTAATCCACGGCTGTGTGTGTGGGTTGTTTTTTTTTTTTTTTGTCGTGCGTGATGAAGGGGTGTACAGAGCATCATCGACGGATTCATGCTGTTTGAATAGCCTTTATTACGCTAAATTATCGATATAGGCTCGGCGCCACCGCTCTTTAGCGTTTAATATGTGCGTTTGATCGTCTTCCATTATATAACTTGTGTTAAGGTTACACATATTTCGGCTGCTGGGCGTCAGTGGTGTGGGGGGCCATAGCGCGCATAGCATCATGGTTGTTAGTTAGCGCGGTGGAGGATGTTTTCATCACCGCAACCATTTAACTCTGTCTGATGAGACAACGTTACGGGCCCTGTCTGTATGATAAGGCCCGTTTAAAGCCCATTTTTTTCTGACCACATGCTGTACATTTTGGGGTCGTTGCCATAGATTCTTAAAGGGACATTGCACCCTTAATACATACTCCTATGCAACTAAAATTAATACCCCAGCAAACCCATTGATCCCTGTAGTAACATTAAGTGTCCAGAAAAACACTTTAACCATGTAGGCCTAATGTAATTAAAATACAACACTACTGCAGTAAGTACCTGCTATGAATACTTTAATTTAAATGTTCAATTAGTGTTGAGACTACTTCTTTGTTTGTTGACTCCCTAATGTTGTACTTTGTAGTAGTGTCCTATGAGTTGCAACCCTACCCTATTTAAGGTAGGGTTGCAACTTACTTATATATAAAAAAAAAACATCACAAATTTCTAAAGCCCAAGATGGGACCTATAAAAGTCTTTTTGCTTGATAAATAACTCAAATTGTCTGTCAATCTGGTTATTGATTAATTATTTCAGCTCTAAAATAGTTTACTTAAAATGTTAAAATGTTATTGTTGTTAGGCTGTGCAGTTGTTGAGTTGCTTGTTGACATTTGTATTGAAAGTATGCCGCATTTTGATCATCAACCATCTGCAAATAGTTCTCTGGATGAAGCAATTCATTATTTGATCTGTAAGATGTTAAGAAAATAAGAAAACAAAATTTCCTACAGCCTGCCCGACCAACAGTCCAAAACCCAAAGATATTCAGTTTACCATAATGTAATGTATGGTAAAGAAGCAAATCCTCACATTGGAGAAGCTGGATCAATATAATTGTGGGCATGTTGCTTGATAAATTAATAGATAAATAAATTAGAATAGTTGCCAGTGTTTCTAATATTTTGTCCACAAAGAAAAAGGACAGGTAGTTAGTACAGTGAAACTTGCTAGCCCCCAAAAATTTGATTGCTGCAACGTTTCCACCTACAAGGTCTTTGTCAGTCCATCATCCATGTGAACAAAAACCAAGCTATATATAAAGACAAACAATTCCACTTACAGTTAGGATATCACATGATGCAGAACAGCACCCACGGACAGTTTCTATGAAGACAACTTTTTGTGTGCTGTTCAGCATCTCTGCTAAGTGGAGGAGCAGACGTTAGGTACACCCAACAATATTATGCAAAACACATTACCACAAAAGCCTCAAATTGTACGCTCCCAAAGAGTTGAATCAATACCTCTGGAGGATTTTTGCCAAGGTTTTAAGCTGCAAAGCCTCGCTCTGATTTGAATTCATAAAAAGCTGTACTCACAATGCTAAGCAAGCAGTACATAACAACAGTCATTTGAAGAATAGGATCTTCTCATATTTTCACTGTAATTAACGTTCTTTGTAGTAAGTGTCCTCGCGATTTGAGGCAGCAGATCACTCAGAAAGCATCTCTCAAAGCAAATACATTTGTTGGAGGCTGCTTTCAATTTCAGGACAAATTACTTTGAGTTTAACTTGAGAAGTGAAATAGTGTCTCTTATTCCCTGTTTGGTTTCCAGTGGTTTGGATGTGCATTTGTTTACCTTTTGATTACCAGCTGAGTGAATATGATTTAGCCAAGAGAACCACAATACTTTGAGACTAACTGACAAGCAGTCTGGTGAACTTTTAGTTTTGACATTAATTGTGGGCTTTAGGCTCATTCATGTTTGTTTGATTTCAGCCAGATATGGCCAGAGTAGGATTATCCAATAAGAACACGTGGAAGAGATTTATCTGTCCGTAATGTGTTTAGGACCTTAGTACTTTTTCTGCTTTCCCCATATTCACCCTGTACTGTAGGAAGTGAAAATAGCTTAAATTTGTCATTTTGACCTTGAACAAAGCCTAATCTAACCCCTAACATTGCAGAAGAAAGCCCTGCATGGTACAAATACAGAACTGAAATCACCCTTTCAGTTGTGTGTTCATGAAGGCTTAAAAAGAAGAGCCGTGCTTGTGTGACTTCCTGCACTGCTGCTGCAGACATGTGTCAGTGTCACTGATATGAACTTTTATATTTAGTCAGGATTGGACTGTCTCTTAGCGCTCTCGTACATCTACAGCATCAGGTTTCAGGCGTCTAAAGTGCACAAGTGTCTCACAGCTCAGTGGTTCCCATCAGCCCTGAGGCTGAAGCATAGAGACGTTCACTGGCACAGAGTTCGAAGCGGGAGAGCTGCTTCAATTTCAGGCCTCGGTTTCACTGTCATCAGCTTGTCGTGTCAAATAAGGTCTTATGTGTGAATAGCAACCATACTTTACAGGCGCACACAGGAGAGTTAAATGCAGAGCAGGTGGTGGAGTCTGCGTGGTGTCCGCGCCAGCATATTTTGTCATCGCACCTTCTGCTTCTTTATTAGGCCCGGGAGGGGAGGAGGGAAGCGGGGTGACCTGTTTTAAACTCTGCACTGCAACCAGGGTTGCCAGCCTATCATTGAATTTAAAACAAAACATGCTCTGCTGGTGGGGGGGGGTCTGAAGCTGTTTGGGATTCAGCAGCACGCATGAAGTCTAGATGACTTGCCCTTGCTCCTTGGACTTGATTTCCCTGTTGGCTTTAAAATGAGCACTTTCGCATTGACAAGATGATCCTTTATTTGTATGTGGCTCTCAGGGG